CTACAGATTCTTCTTCGTTGGTGTTTGGCGACTTCTTCCTACAGATTCTTCTTCGTTGGTGTTTGGCGACTTCTTCCTGCAAATTCTTCTTGTTGGTGTTCAGCGGCTTCTTCCTATAGATTCTTCTTCGTTGGTGTTTGGCGGCTTCTTCCTGTGGATTCTTTTTCATTGGTGTCCGACGACTTCTTCCTACAGATTCTTCTTCGTTGGTGTTCGTCGGCTTCTTCCTACAGATTCTTCTTCGTTGGAGTTTGGCGGCATCTTCCTGCAAATTCTTCTTGTTGGTGTTCAGTGGCTTCTTCTTGTGGATTCTTCTTCAGATTGAACGATGCTAGGAGAATAGGAGTGTTAGTCCCAGTTCCAGTCTAGACTCGATGCCCAACCCTAATCCTTACTGATTGACTCTGGTGACTTCAGTATCTGATGTTAATTAATTATTCAGAATGACTGTTGTTTGCATGTATCATAGGCTACAGTATACTTCATTGCTACCCCGCCTCTCGCACGACTGCTGAACATGGTCTCCAGTGACCCCCATGACCCGGAAAGAACGAAGCGGGTAAAAATAATGGGTGGATGGATGCTTCAGTAAATCCTTTGTCCGCCACCTAAGACACTGAGATCTGAGCATTTTGTGTGACTGAAATATCTCCTGGAATTTCAGGATTTACTCAGGGAAAAATCAGGGGTAACTCGAGGAATTTTGTTCTCACGAAATGCTGGGAATTCAGATTCAAATCTGTTTCTGCTTCATCGAAACGTCCAAGCTTATAAAAACAACAGATCCCAGTCCATCCTGTGTCACCTCTGCCTCGTTAGGAATGCCATGCACATCCATCCACAAAGTCTAGAATAACAACCTAATCACACATGATCCACACCTTTTGTGCGTAAATCAGCAAGGGTCAGTAACTTTTGTCATGTAGCGCCAATGCTTTACATTCTAACGGTGACCTGGTCGTCCAGCTCAGAGAAACGTGACGTCAGTTAAGTTAAAACAACTAGAAAATCCTCAACACCTTCTTTTGTTGTTTCACGAAGCAGCATTTACGGAAAGCTATAGATTCCTTGTTTTGGTTTCAGCACAATGATGGTTTTTAAACTGTTCAGCTGCTGTGCAATCGGACCTCTGCTCCACGGTGGGTGATTTTCTCTGACGTTTGGCTGGTGTTTGGTGTGAAAGTGCAGCGCAGACAGCAGGTCTGCTTCACAGCTCTCTGTTAGCTTAAATAAACACGAGTTCCCACTCCCCCCCTTCAACCCCCCTTTCTGCCCTGTCTCTGTTTTTGTAAGCAAATACCCTGGATTTTTTTCCCCCCTATGTATGTTCTCTTATAGGTCTTTTAGTTAAATAGGCCAACTTATAATACGACATGAAAATTTAATCATCTCTTCTATGTAAGAGACTTTTTTTTTTTATGGACTTTATTTAAAGGTCAAAGTTCACAGCTGGCTTGTACATTTTGGCTTCCATAGTAGCTCTTATATAGATGATGTAGTTAGCTTCCTGTCAGGACACGAAGCATCAAGCTGAAGCTGCTTCGCCCAGTTTTATAACATTGGCTCATCTTTTTTTTTTTTTTTTGGCTTTCGCTCTGCGCACAATGGGAACTCTTGAAGAACATTTTGATCTTTAAAATGGTTTGGGGTGCCAGAACGTTGTAAATTAAGCTGAAGTTGACATGTGTTTCCTGGAAACTTCCTCGTATCCCTCAAACTGCCAAAGATGGCTCACAGGTATGGGTTGTTGCAATCTTTTGAGTCTCTTGGACTTGGATCTGCAGCAGTTCTTGTAACCAAATCAGGGGCTTTTTTTTATGGGAGGTTATGATGACTGACTTTGATTGGCAGGCTTTTGATATTTTATCGCTGTCCCTGAGTGGATCCTAGGGCCCTCAGGGGGTCTTGAACTGAACGTTGCTTCAGCTTATCAAGCGCCTTGCGTTCAAGTGAAAACATGAACATCTTTACAGGCGAAGAGCTTTTTCTTTTCCCTGACAGCAGCCACACAGAGGTAACGCTGAGATTTTACTGCACTGTATCTAGTTTCATCAAAGGCCATCGCTCGTTCTTCCTCTTCTACCTTTTATCCTTTTTGGAAATGTGACTCCCACACTGCATGCTTCTTTTTAACCTTGCCCTCCTTTCCCCCCTCTGTGTCTCGTCTCTGTATCCCTTCGGCCTCCGTCCTTCTCTGTGAAGTCACATGTGAAAGTGATCAGCTTAATCCCGATCACCATCTGTGTTTAACCTACTTTAGATCGGGAGCGCTCGCCTCCCCTGCTTTGGCTTTCCTTTGAGTGGCGTTAGCATGAACACGGGACGCACGCTGGAAGCTTGACCTGCTAAAGTCAGACAAAAATATCCTCCATTTCTTTTATTTATCCTGACATGAACGTCAAACCGTCTGTTATGTGTTATGGTGTCTCATAACATTTATATAATGTCTGCTTGTTAGCGCTACGATATGTCACATTCATATTGCGGACATTTACACGTTTACTGACCCTTCTGAACCCAACTCGGCAATTGTTAGCCTCATGTAATTCACTGTTGAGCTATGTGAAAGTTTAACTGTTTCTTAGTTGTAGTTAACAAGTAATGTAAAGCATAAATCTAACGGCTAAAAATAGCATTAAAACCCCCCATGAAAAAAAGACCATCAAGAAGATATTTGAGAGCTGGGGCTCTGTTTTGCACAAATATGATCATTTTCCTTTGTCCTTGCCGTAAATTCAACTAAAATAAGTCAAATAAACTTCTAAACGAGTCTGATGACTCTAGAAAACAAGCGCAGATGTGACGCAATCATGTTTAGTGCTTGTGTTGCTTTTAAGTTCACTGAAACATTGTTCAAATAAAGAACATTAGTTTGAATTAAAGTACTAAAGCTGAAAATACAAAATGATGATAAATGAGAGAAATTGCATTTACTGTGAAAATACAGTATGAATACTTACTAGAGAAGAACTTGCTGAAAAACAGCTGAAATTAGCTAAAACAAACATGCTGAAACGTAGCTAAAATGGAAGAACAAGCCTAAATTAGCGGAAGAAAGCAGAAATATCACATATTTGCTTAATTAGGCTTAAGTAAGCAGATATTAGCACAAAAATAAGGAAATTGCTTTAAAAAGTTGAAATTGGCAACAAAAAAAATAGCTGAAAAGTAGCTGAGAAGGAAGAAAGAGGCTTAAACTACCAGAAGGAAGCAGAAAAAACTGAAATGAGCTATAAAAAAAGTGTGGAATTAGCTTAAAAGGTAAATTTAGCATGAAAACAGCAAAATAGTAGCTGAAATAGCAGTTAAGGCTGAAGGGAGCATAACAAGCTGAAATTAACATCAAGCCGTTAGACTGAAAGTAGCAGAAATTACCACGAAAAACTAGAATTTATCTGAAAACAGCTAAAATTAGCTTTAAAAAAATGCAAAAAAGTTAGCTGAAAATTTAGAACAAGCTTAAATTAGCCGAAGAAAGCAGAAAGAACATGTTTGCCCAGTTAGGCTGAAAGAAGCAAAAATAAGCACCAAAAAAGTGCAATAAATAAATAAATTTGCTAAAAACCTGCTAAATAGTAGCTGAATTAACAGAAACTAGCAGAAACAAGCTGAAAGGAGCATAACATGCAGAAATTAGCAGAAAGAACTTAGATGTTGTAAAAAAAAATGTTTTAGTTGGAACAAAGATTCTGAAAGTAGCACAAAACAGCTGAAATAACAGCTGAAGTTAGCTGAAAGTAGCTAGAAAAACAGAACAAAATGTGAAAGGAGCAGTAAAAGTTTGTAAACACATCTAAAGACTTGAAGGATGTAAAATGAGCTCAATTCATTTTCTGTGAGGAAAAAAGTGGCCAAAAAGTTAAAGTTGCTCCATTGCCAAATGTCATAGCAGGTCTCAGGTCTCGCTTGTAAATGAGTCCCCGAGGCTCAATGGGATGAATAAAGGTTGAAGGAATAGCAGGATTGTCTTGAAACAGCTGAACTTTTTTTATATATGATTTGTTGAAATAGCTTGAAAACTGCGGAACGAGAAACGCACCAAAATAAAAAAAACGTACGGCAGAAAAATGGATCACAGTAGTGTGAATGCTTCATAAACATTCACACTATTAAAAACATCAAGGTCCACAGCATATCACATAAAGAGACGGTTCTGTAAAGTCCAGCTTCTAAAACTTAAAAATAACCCTCTTAATTACCCTGATTAGTTCATAAAACACGCCCAGTGGACAGGTGACGTTAGAAATAGTTTCTGAGTACAACAAGTAAACAGCTGAGCTTTTTGAGCTGTAAAGCAGGGAGGTAGAGCATTCATGATTTGAGCTTGTGTTGCTTTCAAGCTCACAGATTAAAAACACGTTAAAGTACAAAATCTGCTTACACAAAAAGATAATCTATAATATCAAAGCTACACTCGCAAACGAAAGAGACTGAAGGATTTCCTCATATAGAAGATTTCGTTTACAAGCCCACCTTCCAATTAAGTGCTGGTTTCAAAGGCTCTGGTTAAAGTTCTGAACGTCTTCAGCGGTGCTGTAATCGAGCCTCGGACCCACGGTTTTATCAGTGATCTCCCCCTGCTTTTTCTCAGCGGCTCATCGGGTTCCAGCTGGCAGCCTTCCCGTCTCAGCTCCGTTTCCGTAAATTCAAGCGAATGCATTCCCGAGGGGTTTGATTTAATTTGAAGCGAACGGCTCCAAACCTTCTGGGTCTGCTGCGTCCTCCCAGCCAAAGAAAAAAAAAAAATAACTGCACAAGTTTAACACTGAACATGCAACAACTCCTTAACTACACTCCCAATGGAAACAGTATTAACAACGAGGCTGAAATAAAGTGATTCTGCAGCAACAAAAAAGCAAGCTTAACAATTGTAGTCCTTCAAAATAAAAGTCTTTTTTGTGGGGAGGGGTCTTGTGAACTGGTCCTGGTTTTAAAGTTCCTAAAACAAACAAACAAAAAAATAAACCGTTTTCCGTGTTTTTGATTTCTTTTCTTTCCAGGATCCCGGACCCTCGCCCCCGTCCCCTATTTTGGGCCACAAGCCACTGCAGCTCATCGAGTTGAAAGCCAGGGGGCGTTTCGGCTGCGTGTGGAAAGCCCAGTTGCTGAACGAATATGTGGCTGTGAAGATATTCCCCATCCAGGTATCCTTATGGCCACATGGCATTCTCCCTTTTTACCACAGTGTCCACCCCTAAAGTACCTGGTCTAACTAAGATGCTACGTCGTTCTCCCCCCCGCGTAGGACAAGCTGTCCTGGCAGAACGAGTACGAGATCTACAGCTCGAGCGGCATGAAGCACGACAACGTCCTCCAGTTTATCGGCGTCGAGAAGAGGAGCAACAACCTGGACCTGGAGCTGTGGCTCATCACCGCCTATCACGACAAGGTACTCATCCAGGGGTGGAGACGGAAACCTTTCGATGGCTAGCGCCGTTTATCTGTAACGGCTGTCTTGAACTGGAGGTGACTCCACAAGTTACTGGTTTTAAAGATACAGACAGTGACACCTTTCTGAGAGACATTAGATAACGTCTACTGGTTCATGAGATATTTTGCTAACAAACACACATAGACTAATACGCACACACGGGGCAGGTGTTAACGTTTCTGTTCTGTGCCCGACAGTCCATTCAAGCTAAACGCCACACATTTCCTGTGAAAATGCAGTGTGAATGCTTATAGCTGAAGAATTTTTGCCCCAAAAAAGCTGAAATTAGCTAAAAGAAAGCTGAAATTAGCAAACAATAGCTGAAAAGTAGCTGAAAAGGCAGAAATAAGTTTAAAAACTAGTAGAAAATAAGTGAAAGGAGCAGAAATTACCATAAAAACTTGAATTTATCTGAAAACAGCTGAAATTAGCTTAAAATGCTAAAAAGTGTAGCTGAAAGTTAGAACAAGCTTCAAATAGAAGAAAGCAGAAAGAACGCGTTTGTCCAATTCTGCTAAAAGAAGCAGAAATGAGCACCAAAAGTGGAAATTATCAGAAAAAATCTTAAATTTGCAATAAACAGCCGAATAGTAGCTAAAGAAACAGAAAGAATCTTAAATTACCAGAAGGAAGTGGAGAGAGCACAATTATGCCTAATTAGGCTGAAAGAAGCAGAAATGAGCACAAAAATGTGAAGGATATCTGTAAAAACGCAGAAGTACAAAAACCCCCCAGCTGATTAGTAGCTAAAAAAAGGCAGAAATAAGCTTAAATTACCAGAAAGAAGAAAGAAGTGGAGAGATCACAATTGTACCCAGTTAGTCTTAAAGAAGCAGAAATTAGCACAAAAAAGTGGAAATTATTTGAAAAAGGCAGAAACATATGTATATTTACATAAAAACAGCTGAATAGTAGCTAAAAAAATGCAGAAAGAAGCTTAAATGACCAGATGGAAGTGAAGAGATCATATTGCTGAAAAACAGTTGAAATGGGTGCAACAAATGTGGAATTTGCTGAAAAAGCTCAAATTGGCATAAAAGCAGCTAAATATTAGCTGAAATTGCTAAAATAGCTGAAACTTGCAGAAATATGCCGAAAGGAGCATCACAAGCTGAAATTAGAAGCTAGAAGATGCACATAAACGTGACTTGGTTCAGTATAAATAAAGTGAGCTGAATAGTTTTCGTTGCTTATGCAGATTGTGTTCTCGCGTTCTGTCCTCCCTGGTGGTTTCTCCTCTCGGCTGCAGTCTGTGCAGCTTTTCGGGGCTTTAAGTGCCTCTGTGTTTTGAGGGTCATTACCAACCAAGTGGAGAGCGGTTCTCTTTGCCTCGCTTGCCTGAAAATGTGCCCCCCGCCTGACCTAAGATGTGAATCTGCGTGCTTAAACTTTCCTTCAGCGAAGAAAGGTTGACAAATTGAAGGTGTGGCAGCGTCGCTCTTGGAAAGCCACTTAACCCTGGAGGGGCGAGACAAGTGTTTCTCTGATTCGTTGAGGCTCTCAAGAAGAATCAAAGATTTCACAATTTTTTTTTTTTTTTTTTTAGTAAATGTACAATCAGGAATAGATCGTAATAGCCCTGTTTATTTTCTCTAAAAAGTTTCTGCTTGGACGTGCAGAGAGCCTTTTCCTCCTGAGCAGGTGCTGATGATTTGCACTATTGAACCTAAAAATGTGTAACCAGCTGTTGCAGGGTTTAGCGTCTCCTCCACGGCTGATTCATAGCCCGATGTTTGACGCATCCCAGTAGCTTTAAGGTGCGTAGGGGCATCCACCCGCATGCCGAGGCTCGCTTCAGAAACTTCCCGGGCTTTAATCTCTTTAATCGGACGTTTTAGATCGACTTTCAAATGGATATTGACTGAGAGGTAATTTGAGAGAGAGGAAATGAAACCTGCTGCATGCAGGTTTATAAACATGCAGTGAAAGATTTGTGTCCTGAAGCAAAACAACTGAGATTCAGCTTCATCTGTTGGAGTTGTCTGCCCTCTGGTGGCCACGTTGTGTAACTACTCCCTGTTTGGCCTTGAAACAAGTGACCTTGTGTTATTCTATTAAGAAACTGCCTTGCTGAAATAAAAAGGGTCACACGTTCTGTAATGTTTAGCTTTAGTTGTGGAATGCAGTCACTGCAGCATACTTTATAGAATCCCAAAGATTTCTCTGTGTGTTTAAGGGTCTGACTGTAAAAATGGTGTCTCATGCTCCCTAAATCCTGGCGAAATATTTACCTGCAATTTCTGTGAATGTTTACGAAGCATTCACACTGTTGTGATCCATTTTTCTTCCGTACGTTTTTCGGCGTCTTTCTCGTTTTGCAGTTTTTGTGCCATTTCAACAAATCGCATATCAAAACGTTCAGCTCTTTCAGGAGAAGGGGTGCTGTGACTTTTGGTATTGGTGCAACTTTAGCTTTTTTGAAATACTTTCTGCCATTTTTTTTTTTTTTTTTTTTTTTTTTTTTTTTGTCATAGAAAATGAATTGAGCTCAATTTACCTCCTTCAAAAACCAAAAGCTGCATCAGTTCACAAACCGTTTGAACGTCAGGACGAAACTCTGGCTAACCGTTGTGCGTTTTGTTTTATTTACAACAGCATTCAACACAAATATCATTGTAAAAAATACTTAAAATCATATGTACTAGAAATGCACCGATCGGTATCAGTGCCGATATCCGAGGGTGTTGTTTTCCCCTTGTTGGGGTATCGGTAGAGATGCACTGACCCCGGATTTGTATCGGTACTGATATAGAAAATTTCCATAAGGAGCTTATTGCTGTTTATTTTAAACATCTGCCAACCAAGCTAGTGAAGCTATTGTTTCTTCCTCTTCTTTCAGCTCCTTTACTATTTATTTCACATTATATTTAGAATTCCTGAACCATTTGAAAGGTTTGTTGAAGTTTATTTTTTTTACGTTTGACCAAAGTTGTCAACCTGTTGTTTTTGTCAGTTTCAGTATCTTTATTATTATTTATTTTACATGGGATGTTATAATCATAACTGCACTGACTGAACAAATTAAAGTTGTGTTGTTTTTACATGTTTGACCAAGCCTGTGAAGCTACTGGTGTGTTTAAGTGTGCTGTACTGGTGCAGACTTTTCAATAAATTTGTAATTCAGTACATTTATGTCTACGTCTTAAAAAAAAAAAAAAAAAGGAAAAAGTTTTAAGTTAATTCAGCACTGTTTACTGTATCGGATCGGTATCGGATCGGTAAACTCTGGTATTGGTATCAGACTTGAAAAACGTGGACTGGTGCATCCCTGATAGAGATGAGAAGTAAACACTAAAAACTACTTTTGCTGATAAAATCCTGCAGGTTTGACAAACATAAAAATAATTGAACAAAGATCAACGGAGATAAAAGCAGATAAAAGAATCCAATTTCCCGGAGCGGAGTTGTTTACAGAAAGTAAAAAAATCTACACGGTCTTTTATCTAGACTGTTGGTCCAAAGAGGTTTTTGATAGTAAACTGTATCAGTCCGACGGTGGGGGGTGTCTGTAAGCACTTTCTTTGCGGTTTATTAAAAGGAACTATTATTACACCGTAATATCTAAATCTCTTGTCTTTCCGTCTTCAGGGCTCCCTCACCGACTACCTAAAGGCCAACGTCGTTTCCTGGAACGAGCTGTGCCACATCGCACAGACGGCGGCCCGCGGCCTGGCCTACCTGCACGAAGACATCCCGGGACACAAAGACGGCCACAAGCCGTCCATCGCTCACAGGTCCAGCTGCTTTTCTTGAAGCGCTGTCAGCTGTTTGATGCTCTGACGTCCTCTCGTGCCGGTCTGATTAAAAGAGTTTCTGGTGTCCCCTGCAGGGATATCAAGACTAAGAACGTGCTGCTGAAGAACAACCTGTCGGCCTGCGTTGCTGACTTTGGGCTTGCACTGAAGTTTGAGGCTGGTAAATCAGCGGGGGACACGCACGGACAGGTACAGACGACACTTGTCTGAATGCTGAGTCAGCATTCACATTGACCTTTTCCTCTTCTTATTTTCTTCTTTTGTTTATATCTATTTTAACTACTTCTGCATACCTCGAGCTGTTTTAGCTGCTCGAATATCACAATGTTCAGCACAGTCAGGAGATGGCCGCTGTGACTTTGTTTTTTTTGTAATTATCAAAATGTTTTAACTTGATTTACAAATAAAGTTCCCTGTAATTTTTTTTTTTTTACATCTTTTCAATTCCTTCTGAAACTTTTTCTCTGAAATCTTGAGAAAACTGGTTGTTTTTGTTTTCCTGTGTTTTCTTGTTTAGTTTTTAGCTAGCGTTTTTACATATTTAGCTAGCATTTTACTTTACCTTTTCTTCATTTTCCTGCCTTTAGCTAACCTTTGGCTTTTACCTATGTTTTGTTACTTTGAACATGAGTTTATCTACATTTAGCATCTAGTTACTAATTGCTTTAAGCTAGTGGGTTTTTTTCTGTTGCTAACTTTTAGCTGGGTTTAGTTTTTAGTTAGCATTTTGCTGCTTTTAACTAACGTTTAGCTACATTTAGCTGTTTACTATGCTTTGTTACTTTTAGCATACATTTAGCATCTAGCTACTATTTTGCTTTCAGTTAATGTTTTGTT